CACTGAAACAGGTACAGTTTCTGTTCCTTTTTGCTTGCTTCTTTAATGAAGTAGATTCATTGTTAATTGAGTCGGTATGACATTTGAAATGGGAGAAATACAGAAAACCACAGTCGCAGTGTCGAAAGGGAGGATGAATTAGAAACGAAAGAGGAGAGGAAGAAATTTGAGAGTTGAATTCGTCACTGAAACAGGTACAGTTTCTGTTCCGTTTTGCTTGCTTCTTTAATGAAGTAGATTCATTGTTAATTGAGTCGGTATGACATTTGAACTGGGAGCAATTCTTTAATTTGATGTTAATGCTGTTTGTTTAGGGTTCGTTTAGAAGGGAAAGTATTCATAATTCATTCTAAAAAAATTTGAGGCTGTTTTTCCAATTTTCAATCCCACAAACTCATTTTAAATAAATTACGTTGTTTCTTTTCTAGTTGTGGCAGCAAAGGAACGTAAACCATGGGAGTGGATATTAACAAGTGTTATTTTAAAAATTAAATTTGTTATTTTATAAGTTAAAATTTATGTTTAGATTTTCATTCAATTCTTAAAAAAATTAATTTATTTTTTAAAAAATTAATTAACTTAAATATATTAAGTCAATAAAAAAACTATTACTTCGAAATCTTAAAAAAAATAATTTAAGTTGCGTGTAGACCATCCTTACGTCACAAAATACAAAAGGGGTATATAAACTGAAAATAAATAATAATAATTAAACGTGAAAGGGAACAAGAAAACAAAAAGAGGGAAAACCAATCGGGCTTTAAAATGGTTTGATTTTGAAAAAGCGAATTTGGGCTTAAGATGCTCAGCCCAAAAGCTGAAACATCATGTTTTTTCCATTTAAATAGGTCCAATTCCAGACAGCTAATCTGGCCCAAGCCAGATCAAAGGAAAATGGTGAGGGAAGAGAGAAAACCCACACGAAAGAGGAAAGGGGAACCCTCTAGTTTTTTTTTCCTCCTCTTCACTCCTCATTTCGACTTATTTGATAGGAAAAGAGACTATTCTTTTCTTAGAAGTGGAAATATGCTATGTATTATATATAATTCTAAAGAAATCTAAGTTGCTAGCACAAAGGAATAATACGTGGACAGATTAACTAACAGCAATGGAGGAGAAGAATATTTGTGTTTTAAGAAAGATATAATGCAGGGTGATCCTTTATCTTTTCCTCCTCATCACTCATCCCTTTCTTTTCCTTCATTCGTTGGACAAGCACCAATGTTCAACCTTCACCTTCTATTGTCTGCATGTATAAATGTTGCTTGTAGCTATTCTCCACCCCTTCACATTGTTCTCTCCTCTTTCGTACTATACACTCTTGAAACATTTGTCTCTTCCAAACTACTGAAGCAAATATGGCCGACATTATTCTTGGTCCTCTTGTGGATGTCACAATATCCAAGGTGATTTCAGTTACCACCGAGCAACTCAACTTAGCAGTGGGATTCAAGCAGGAGCTCAAGAAGTTCCGTGTGGTGCTGAGCATGGTAAGGGGCGTGCTGCAAGATGCTGAGGAGAAGAAGGTGACGGGTCACTCTGATCTGCAACCTTGGCTTCAGGAGCTGGGAAATATAGTTGATGAAGCTGACAATGTGGTAGATGAGATTGCATATGAACATCTAAGGTACAAGGTGGCTCAAAAACAAATGTGGAAAAAGGTCAGCTGTTTCTTTACTCTTTCTAATCCTTTAGCTTTTCGCCGTAAGATAGCTAAGAGGATTAAGTATTTGAGTTTAGATCTAGCTAGCCTTAATGATTGGGCCACTGGACTAGGGCTTCAACATAGACTTGCAAACAAGCTTCCTGAACATGTAGAAATCCAACAAACAAACTCCTCACTTGATGATCCATCGAAGATTGTAGGAAGAGAAAATAAAGTCCTAGAAGTAGTTCAGTCGTTGATTGATTCAAGTAATGATCAACCTCTCCCTGTTGTATCCATAGTTGGTATGGGAGGCATAGGCAAAACTACTATGGCAAAACTAGTGTACAACAATGAGCTGATAGAGAAACATTTTTACAAAAAAATGTGGGTTTGTGTTTCTGAAAATTTTGATGAGAAAAAAATATTAGCAATGATGCTGAAACCTCTCATCACTAATGAGAATGATCATGTGGATTTTGAAAATCAAGAAGCTGTAGTTCAGAAACTCAAAAAAATGCTTCAGGAGAAAAACTCTTTTGAAGAGATTGAGGAGAAAAACTATCTCCTCATTCTAGATGATGTATGGAATGAAGAAAAGCCAAAATGGGATAACTTAAGAAATTGTTTGTTGGGAATAGGCAAAAGGGGTGGGAGTAGGGTTCTTGTCACAACTAGAAATGAGAAAGTAGCTTCCATAATGGGAACCAAGAACATGCATAGTCTTGCCAAGCTAGAAAAGGAGGATTGTTGGTCTATTATCAGGCTTAAAGCATTTGGCAACTCTCCTAATTCTTCGAAATTGGAGGAATTGGAGAGTATTGGAAGGAACATTGCTGAGAAATGTAAAGGTGTGGCATTAGTTGCAAATGTTGTAGGGGGGACATTGTGTAATAATATAAACAAAGAATATTGGACGTCAATTAGAGATGATAAGGAAGTATGGGATTCAATAGAAAAGGCTGATGGAGTTTTGTGTGTATTACAATTAAGTTTTGATCGGTTGCCAATACCTGCTTTAAAACAATGTTTTGCTTTTTGCTCTATTTTCCCCAAAGACTTTGTCATGGAAAAGGAGATGTTAATCCAGCTCTGGATGGGTGAAGGATATCTTCAACCGTCTGGAAAAAGCTACAAGAAGATGGAAGATATTGGTGGCAAGTATTTCAATGACTTTTTCTCATACTCCTTATTTCAAGATGCAGTAAAAGACTCTTATGGCAGTATTATTTCTTACAGGATATCTTCAACCGTTTAGAAAAAGCTACAAGGAGATGGAAGATATTGGTGGTAAGTATTTCAATGACTTGTTCTCATACTCCTTATTTCAAGATGCAGTAAAAGACTCTTCTGGCAATATTATTTCTTGCAAAATGCATGATTTAATACATGATCTAGCACAATCTGTTTCAGAGTCTCAAACGTTGATTTGGGATCGTAGTAGTAGTAGTGATACTCCTGCAGACATTCAGCATTTGGAGGATGGTAGTAGTAGTGATAGTTCTGGAGACATTCGGCATTTGAATCTCATTTCTGAGGAGGGTATGCCAAAAATGGAACTTCGGGAACTGCGTACCTTGTTTTCACGAGTTGATGTTTCTCAAAACAAGCTTGAAAACTTTATAAAGGTGCGAGTTCTCAGTTTCCGTGGTGCCAGTATTGATGAGTTGCCAGCTTTTTTGGGGAAAATGAAGCATTTAAGGTTTTTGGATGTTTCAGAAACTAAAATCAAAGAACTTCCCAAATTCATCACTAAGCTCTATCATTTGCAGACATTTAGATTTATGAATTGTGGGGAAATCAAGAGGCCTTTGAAAGGAATATGGGATTTAGTCAATTTGAGACACATTTATTTCAATGATGAAAAGCTTATGCCAGCTGGGATTGGTGGATTAACTTGTTTGAAAACATTACAATTATTTGCTGTGGGCCAACAGAAGGGACATCAAATTGAAGAATTGGGATGTTTAAGCCAACTCCGGGGAAAATTAGAGATTCGTAATTTGCATATGGTTAGAGACAAAGAAGAAGCCATGGGAGCAAGACTTTCTGAAAAGGGTACAATTCAGGAGTTGCAGTTGCAGTTTGGTGGGGAGTCTAATCTTAGTGAAGATAGATGCAAACAAGATAAAGATATCTTGAAAGGCCTCCAACCTCACTCAAATTTGAAAGGCCTAACTATTGAACGCTACTGTGGGAAAAGCTGTCCTTCATGGATATTAGAAACAAAAAATTTTCTCAAAAATCTGATGTTCATGACCTTTTTTGCATGTCCCTGGTTGGATAGCATTCCATCATTGTCACTCAGCAAGGAGGCAAAGGTGGAAATTAATTATTGCAAGAATTTGAAAAGCATTGCAGATTCGTCCCTTCAGAAACTCATCATTAAGGAATGTGAAGAATTGGTTGGGGTAGAGGTTGGACAAGCTGCCATGAAGTCTCTCAAAGAAGTACATATAGAGATTTGTGGTAAATTGGAAAATCTTCCGATGATTAGTAAATTACAATCCCTTGAGGTACTTGAACTTCAGCAATGCACGGAATTGAAGATGATTGGAGATGATGTCCCATTTACCTCCACGTGTCTACAAGAGTTAAATATTCAGTATTGTGATAGCCTGATGTCCATGCCCAGTGTAGATGGGCTGTCCTCTCTTCAAAAAATTGAAATAGGCGGGTGTGGGCAATTGAAAAGCATAGGAGAGGATTTATCTACTGCCACGTGTCTCAAAGAGTTAACTATATGGCAGTGCGATGGTTTGATGTCCTTTCCGAACCTCCATGGGCTGTCCTCTCTTCAAAAAATTGAAATAGGCGGGAGTGGGCAATTGAAAAGCATAGGAGGGGATTTATCTACTGCCAAGTGTCTCAAAGAGTTGACTGTAAGGTACGGCTATGGTTTGACATCCTTTCCGAACCTCCATGGGCTGTCCTCTCTTCAAAAAATTCATATATACAACTGTGGGCAATTGAAAAGCATAGGAGAGGATTTATCTACTGTCACGTGTCTCAAAGAGTTGACCGTAGAGAAGTGTGATGGTTTGATGTCCTTTCCGAACCTCCATGGGCTGTCCTCTCTTCAAAAAATTGAAATACACGAGTGTAGGCAATTGAAAAGCATAGGAGAGGATTTATCTACTGCCACGTGTCTCAAAGAGTTGACTGTATGGGAGTGCAATGGTTTGATGTCCTTTCCGAACCTCCATGGGCTTTCATCTCTTCAGACTTTATTGATAGTGGGTTGTGGTGGATTAAGAAGTTTGCCAAGTGGGTTGCCATCATGCACTGCTCTTGAGAAATTGCATATCTACTACTGTCATAATCTAATCTCTATTCCAGATGATTTGAGGAGGAGCTGGAGCACCCCTAACCCTGCCTGCCTTGCTCGCTTGAAGGAGCTGACTATTGGTGGTTTCTCAACAGAGCTCAAGGAATTTCCAGATCTGGGCTTCATCGGATCTCATCTTGAAGAATTGACTTTGATTGCATGGGGAGAACCAAGAGAACGTCTGCTGGATCAAATTCAACACCTAACTGCCCTTGAGTCTCTCAAAATAAGGTATTTTGATGGACTGGAAGCTCTGCCAAATTGGTTTGAAAACTTATCCTCTCTTCGAACTCTGGAGATTCGCAACTGCGAATCTTTGAAACATATGGAAGCCATCCGATGCCTCTCCAAATTAGAACGCCTTCTTATTTATAGATGCCCTGAGTTAACGGAAAGATGCACCAGAGGAAGTCGTTCCGAGTGGGACTTCATCTCTCACATTCCAAATATCAAAATAGACTACGAAGAGATCCAACGCAATGGAGCTCCCATTGAGGTATCTTCAGCCTTTAACTATATATAATAGTAAATCTCTTTTCTTTAATTCCCTCGTCTTCCTGATTGATTTCAATTATGCATTTACCTTCTTTCAATCTTTTAGGTACAACTGCTAAATCTTTTTTATTTTTTCAATTTATTTATAGTACTTAGCAACTAAAACCAAATTTATTATCTATTACCATTGTTACCTACAATTCAAAAGCAAATTAAGTTGATAATTTATTTTTCCCTTTCAGTATATGTAATTTCAAGTTTTAAAATGTTATGCTAATAATTTCTCGATTCAAATGCTCTACTACCATTCTAGATTCCTAGTTTGCTGCATCAGGATGATGATAATGGGCAGCAAGATGATGATAGTGAGCAGCAGGTTGATGATAATGAGCAGCAAGATGATGATAGTGTGCAGCAGATTGATGATAATGAGCAGCAAGATGATGATAGTGAGCTGCAGGTTGATGATAATGAGCAGCAAGATGATGATAATCAGCAGCAAGATGATGATAGTGAGCTGCAGGTT